TGGAGTTCAGCAAGGTTACTACATATAAAGTTAACACACAAAAAGGAATAGCATTTCTATATACCAGTAATCATTTATAAAATGTGGTAGGAAAAAAATAAAATCATTATGGTACCTAGGAGTTCGCCTTAAAATAGGGTTGTAAGACTTCTATAGAAAAACATAAAACTTTTACAACTTTTATTTTTTTAAATATTTATATTTTTGAGGGGGGGGAAGAGACAGAGTGTAAGTGGGGGAGGGGCAGGGGGAGGGAGACACAGAATCCAGAGCTTTGAGTGTCTGCATCCCTCTTATTTAACAAACCATGAATTTGAGTCCCCAAGAGGAGAAATTACGTAGCATGTTTAGGGGCAAGGGGGGCACAGTGCTCTGTTAGTTTTAGAGTAGAACCCCCTTTTGATCTCCCTCTGGGGATAGGTGAATAAAACTAACCAAAGGAAGAGGGAATAGGGACTTAGTTAGGGAGATTTGTGTAAAAGAATGCCCCCAAACTGTTTTATCACATCCGCTTGAAAGGGACAGGCCTTTGTCATTAGTCCTGTGGTTTTAGGAACAAAGAAACACTTAGGGAACCTTGAAAAAAGTAGTCATATTTTGAGGGAAAGGAAGTCCCCCACTGCACATTATGTAGCATGCACAGTGAATGATATCACAGAAAACGAGAGGTGAAAAGACCATCTTGTTCTACTTCCCCTGATAGAGAAGAGGAACCTGAAGCCCAGAGATGGGAAATGGCTTGCCCAAGGCCACATAGCTTGTTCCTGAAAGAGCTGGGATTATAACAGGGTTTCTTAACTTGTAGTCCAGGGCTTTTACTCCATGTGCCAGTTTGGATTGTGTATCCTGGCAAATGACAGAGACTAATGGTAGCTTACACCAATGGAGATTTATTGACTCACGATGGCTTTCACAGATTACAAGAAGTCTAGAGGGGGACAGTGAGATTAGTGTAGCTGCCGAAGGATGCTAAGGACCTAGTCTCCTCCTATTTTCCTACTTCTCACCTTCAGCCCATGACTTTTGTCCTTACAGTCTTAAGATGGCTGTATCTCCTCTAGGCATTGTGTCTGTATTCCAGGCAGCTGAGCTTGTCTTTTTTTTTTAAAAAACGTTTTTATTTATTTCTGAGAGAGAGAGAGAGAGGCAGCATGAGCCGGGGAAGGTCAGAGAGAGAAGGAGACACAGAATCTGAAGCAGGCTCCAGGCTCTGAGCTAGCTGTCAGCACAGAGCCCGACGCGGGGCTCGAACCCACAAACCGTGAGATCATGACCTGAGTCGGAGTCAGACGCTTAACCGACTGAGCCACCCAGGTGCCCCTGAGCTTGTCTTTTTATAAAGACTTACCTGAAAGCTCCATCTAGTGAAGCACATAGCAAACCCAACTGCAAAGGAGTCAGGATAGGTGTCCAGGCACTAAAGTAGGAGGTGGCAGGGGGCTTTTGAGTTGTTAGACCCTAATGTTTGCTGCATCACTATGCTACATGATTTTATCTCTATCTATCTATCTATCTATCTATCTATCTATCTATCTATCTACCTACCTACCTACCTATCTATCTACCTATCTATCTATCTATCTACCTATCTATCTACCTATCTATCTATCTACCTATCTATCTATCTATGTATCTACTTACCTACCTATCCATTAAAGATTTTTTAAAATTAATCTCTACACACAATATGGGGCTCAAACTTACAACTCCTAAGATCCAGAGTTGCCAACTGAGCCAGCCAGACACCCCTATGCTACACCATTTTAAAGATGAAAGAAGGGGTGGGTGCAACAAACTCCTGCCTGAGAAACAGAAAATAGGTTCAAGTTTGGATTCTGCCACTTATCTGTGGGTCTTTGACATGTCTCAATTACTTCACCTGAAAATGGTTTGGGCTAAGTGACCCCAAAAAAACCCTTCTGGCTCTTAATTCTATGATCCTATCCTATTCAAATCCTAATCCATGTACTTTTATTTCTCTCTCCCCATGGAATTCTAACATAAACATTGTAAATAATGACAATAATTGGTATGTAAAGATTGTATATTTATCTGAAAATCTTCCTGTACCAGGAAATTCCAGTCAGAGAGTCCTACCTTGAGAGCATCAAGGTATCTCCATAAACGTATTTTCTTCTAAAAGTTGTAAAGTTTGGGGGCACCTAGGTAGCTCAGTCGGATAAGCATCTGACTCTTGATTTCAGCTCAGGTCATGATCTCATGGTTGTGAGACTGAGCTCCACGTCGGGCTGCATGCTGAGCGTGAGAGCCTGGTTGGTGGGATTCTTTCTTTCTCCCTCACCCCTTTCTCTGCTCCTCCCAAGAGCACAGTGCACATTCATGTGCGCTCCCCCTCTCTCTTTCTTTCTTTCTCTCAAAATAAATAAATAAACGTTAAAAAAAGAAGTTTATGTTAAATATCAAGGTAGGGAAACAGAGTGAACCTGTACTTTGAGAAAAAATCTATTAGGGCAGATCCATGTCGACGTGAAAAATTACCACATATGTGGGGAATACTGTAAAAGAGAGACATAGAATGGGTGCAGGAGGATGTGTATGAATGGGAGGCCGTGGTGCCCAAGTAGATGTGGCAGGAAAGAGAAAAGGGACTGAGCCAGAACAGCATAATGTTGATGGAGATGTTTCTGAGGCAGAAGGAGAATCTGGTAGGCCTGAGGTGGGGAGAAGGGAGGGAATAACTGAGAATGACTTTTTTGAGTGGCTAGCTTGGGATGCATATAACACGGTGACTTTATTACCTTAAAGAAGGAATGGAAGATTCCAACACTTTTGAATTTTCCTAGCCATCTGACCTCTAAGGAGCTCAAAAGCTAATTCCACTCTTGAAGCCTGGGACAGGCATTGGGGCTGGCTACTTCAGGCAGCAGGAAGGATCAGAGTAACTTTTGAAGCTCCCACCTGTGTGTTTTCCTTATAACAGTTAAGGAAATGCTTGGACAAAATCTGTGGGCTTTGGTATGAAATAACGCTAATTTCATCAGGACAGGAAGCCTTTTTAATTTACCTTTTTATAAGTGCTGCTCACTGTGTGGCTCTTTCAGATGTGCAGATCATCATTCAGTGTCTGTTGGTTGGATGAATGAATTCAGGCTTGCAATGGTAGTTCCACTGCTTTAGAGTCTGGGTGTGAAAGAGGGGAAAAACTTTTGAGTTTGGTCCCACAACACCTACCTTATTAATTGGTCTGTGACCTAGATTAGTCATTTCAGTTCTCTGTGATTGACCTAAAGTTCTTTCCAGGGCTCCAAATTCAGTTCTATACGTTTTCCACTTATCCTTTTACCTAGAGGTTCCTTCATATTTGTATAGGCCATAAATACTCCTTTAAAGTCATTCTGACTAGTACTCTATAAATGCTTGCTAAGTGCTAGGCATCAATCTAAGTACTTTATTTATATCAACACATTTGATCTGCCTAACAACCCTAATAAGGTAGGTGTGACTATTATTCATTTTATAGTGAAGGAAACTGAGGTACAGAGAGATTAAATTTCTCCCACAAGCTCATATAACTTGTCAGTAGCAATTCCCAGATTTGCATACAGGGACTCAAGAGTCCAGAGTCCAAGTTTAACTACCTCACTATGCTACCTCTAGGTCACCCTAACAGGGACTATGACAGAGGCTGGTGACTTGCATTACCTCATTTTTACTAAGGCAACTACAGCTTAACTTCCCGAAGTTACAAAGTAGCAGAGCTGACCTTGAACCAGGGCTTTCAACCAAGCGCAGTGTTCTTTCTGGTAACCAGCCTGCTCTAGAGGTTCGCTACATGCCCCATTGCCTGGTTGCCTGAGTTAAAGCACCACACTTGATTACTGGCTTGTGGTCATTAGGTAAATTACTAAACTTGTGTTTCTCATCTGTAAAATAAGAATGGGAATATTAATACCAATTATAAAGCACGGTTGTGACAACTAAATGAGTTATTAGGAGTCACATACCTACAAGAATGCCTGGGACATAAGCACTCAAGAGGCCTTAGCTATTACTTTTCCTTCTGGACCACTGCTCTCCAGCAGAGATATATCGTGAGCCAAATAGGAATTTTAAGTTTTAGTGGCCACATTTTAAAAAGCAAACAAACAAACCCCTACCAAACCAAAAAAGAATCATGAAATTATTTTTTAAAATGTTTATTTTTGAAAGAGAGGGAGAGAGAGCACGAGCGGGAGAGCGACAGAGAGAGGGAGACAGAGAGTCCCAGGCAGGCTCCGTGCTCAGCACAGAGCCCCACCTATGATTGAGATCCTGGGATCATGACCTGAGCAGAAATCGAGAGGAGGTTGAACCGACTGAGTCATCCAGGTGCCCCATGAAATTATTCTAAATGTGTTTTATTTAACCAAATATATCTAAAACTGTAACCAATTCTGTAATCAACTATTCAGTTTATAATCAATACACCGAGATATTTTACATGTTTTCTACCAAGTCTCGGAAATCTGGTGTGTATTCTACACCTACAGCACATTTCAACTTGGACTAGCAGCGTCACTTGTGGCTGGTGGCAGAGCCGCCCTCGACAGGCCCCACACCCGCGTCCCCGTCCCCCCACGGTTCCTTCCCGCGACCAGCTGGCCCAAGCCCTAGGCCCCGCCCCGCGTCCCTCCCAGGTTACATCACAGAGCCCGCAGGCCCCGCGGGCGGGGAGACCCGGGCCCGGCCGCGTGTGCCCGGCTGCTCGCATCCTCCCAGTTCCAGGCACCCAAGTTCTGAAGGGAAGCGACGTCCAGCACAGGGCCGCGGCGGCGGTCGGTCTGCTCGCCAGCCGCCCGGGCGCTAGCGGGCGGGAGGTGGGAGTCTGAAGCCCCCATGCGTACCTCGCCCCCAACGGCCCTCCGCTCGCGCCGCTACCACTGCGAGGTCGAGGCGGCGGGGCCGGCGCTCATTGGCTTACCACAGCCCTCCGCCCGCCCCCTCGCCGCGCTTATTGGCCGGAGCCGCGGCGCCCGCGGGATAGGCGGTGGCGGCGCCCCTCCCTCGCGCCGGCCCTCAAGAGAGCGACGAGGAAGCGGCCGCCTCCCTGCGCCCCGCCCCACGGGCTTGCTTGGTGGCTCGAGCTCCTCCCGACTTCTCCCGGCTCCTCCCGACTTCTCCCGGCCCTCGCCCGGCTCCCTCCGGCTTCGGCTCCGGCGCAGCGGCGGCGGGTAGGTGCGGCGACAGGCGGGGCCCGATCGGAGGGGCGGCCTCCCCACTCTCCCGGGGGCTGCCTTAGCAGCGCTCCGCGGCCGCCGGAGACCCCGCAAGGCCCGCTGGGGGCGGAGAAGGGCGGTGGCCGCGGGCCTGCGGGACGCGGGGGCGGGAGGGCAGGGGGCCCGAGGGCGTGATCTTTCGAGGCTTCGGGGCGCGATCCCGGGGCCTCTTGGGGCCGAGCGGGCCGGGAGGACCAGCTTCGGGCGTCTGGAGCGTGGGGCTGAGCTGCACGCCTTGGGCTCGGGATGGGGCTGAGCAGGGGAGCGAGGGTCGCTGCGGTTTGGGGCCCTGGGTGGGGCTCGGGGACGTAGGAAAACTCAGAGGTCTTTCGGTGAGGCTTTGCGGGGGTCAGTCGAGGTGGAGCTGGTGCGAGTTAGAGAGAGGGTCCGAGGTTACAGGCAGCGCTGAGGGGCGGTCTGGAGAACCGGGCCCCAGCCTAGGCTCCCTGCGTGCCGTCCCCTCCGGCTCTGAGCAGACTGAGCCGTTGGGTTGGGGGAATAAGTGTGTGTCTGGCTGCGGGAGGGCGAAGCAAGGGTGGGGATGGGAGGATTGGGACTGGGACCGGGAGGAGGCAGTGGAAACGTTACCCCGAACCGAGATTGTGGTTTAGCACTTGGACCAGGTTCTGCGTTGGTGGTGTTGCCTGATCTCTTTTTTAGCGAAATTACCCCGTGGGGGAACGAACGTAGGGGTTTTTGCTTCCATCCAGGAACGTGTAAATTAAATGCATTTGCTTCTTTTCGGAGGAGGCAGTGATTTACTCCTAGTTTTGTGTTTTAGGACCCAAACCCGGGGTGAAACGTGCTTCTGGGGAAGGTTAGTGTTACCCAGCTTTCTTCTGGAAACCCCCTTTCTCCTTTCCCTCCTCTGGTTCGGTTACAGTATTGCTCCCCAGGGCCTCTCGATTCCCTCTCCCTGGCTGCATAGCATTGCAGTGTTCTTGCTCTGTGTGTGTGTGTGTGTGTGTGTGTGTGTGTGTCTCCCGCCCGTTTCCCTGCTGCTGAGCTTTTGGCAACTGCCACTGCGCTTTCCCAGGGATGGTTGTGGCATTGCATCAGGGGATATTTGTGCTTGTAATTTGCTCACTCAGCCCAGGAAGAGGGAGAATAGTATGCTGCAGAGATGGGAGGTGGGGGGGAGGGTGCCGTCAGCTCGGCTGAGCAGGCAGAGAAATGGGTGTGGTGAGGGAATACAGCTGCTCTAGGCCTATAGGGTAACACTGCCCAGTCATCAGCTCAAAGAGATTCAAAGAGCAGCAGCAACAGCTATTTTTATAAATCAGTCCTGAATCCAAGCTGAGCACATGGATTTAGAGTGAACAGTTGTCATGCTCTAACTATTACCGGCTGGGTGTTTGGTAGACAACATTGGAGTTGCTAAGCGAGAACTGTACAGTGCGGTGGGTACTTCTCTTGCAACTTTTTAACTTTGCTCTTCTCACCTCTCTGGAATGAATGGCACATCTCTCTTCCAGGAGCCTCTTTCAAAACTTGAAGTGGTTTGATGGTCCAGGCTACTTTTCAAATGAAAGGTTTCTGTATCACTGGTAGTCTTCCTTTCACATTTGGCTTAAACATAATAAAGCTGTCACCTTTTGAGCCCTTGCCATCTTCCGGGCCCTAGTTGTAGGTATTTATTTACAGATGGGGAAATTGAGACTGACGGGAATAAGGAGTCACACAGATAGTTAAGTATCAGAAGTGGCATCCACATCAAGGTCTCTCTGACCCCTTCTCTCCCCCACCCCCAGTAGTTCAGAAACTCGAAATTTTTTATTCACACGGGGTGACTCAAGTGCTTGAGACTTTATTCATGCAAAGTAATCTCGCTGGAGACTGATAAACAGATGCCAGTTTATTTATACAGAAAGTAAAGAGTGTCATGTACACAATTGGAATTAATTATCCATTGGCCAGGACACTTCCTTTGTTTCTGGGCAGCCAAATCAGTAATAAAAGGGCAATTGATTATAGAATGGGAGCTAAGGGCCCTGGATGTTTTTAGGCAGATGTTTTAATCAAGTTACTGAAGCCTAGTTGAGTCTTGCGTCTTTTCCCATTGTAAGAACACATATATTAATGTTTGACAGTGCTGGGGGAAGATTCTAAAAGCATTTTCCCACTGTCTCAATTGTGTGTGTGTCTTTTTTAGTTCATCTCTTTATATATTTGTCATCTCAGCACATATTTATCTGTGTTAAAATTCTCAAAATTACACATAAGTTTACATTACACGTTAACATCATTTTCCATCGTTTGCTGACAGTGAAGGAAGCACCTGGATTTTCTTATGTCTAGGTGGCTTAGCTCTAGTTTTACTTTTTGTTTTTTTGAGGCTATGAAAACTTTTATTAATTACGTACTCTGGCTTTCAGGGGAGAGTAGGAGACGTTTCCCAAGCTTGCTTGAAATGGTTTGAGAGCTGGGAGAGATACTGCCTTGTGATTTTTATTTTGGTTATAGATTGAGGGGTATGTGTGGAAATAAGTGTTACCCTGCGTGAAGGGGGCCTTGTGTGGCTTGAACCTCTTATGTCAAGTTAGGTGGGTTAGCTTTAGTCAGAGAGAGTGGGTTCTTTCTGATTTCAGTGTCTTGTTCTTTTTCCCAATTTTGTTTTTGAATTTGGTGACCTGTCTTTGATCTCTTCACATTTGTGAGGTTGACATTTCAGATCTGGGCATTGCTTTTCTCCTTCGTCCTCTTCGTCCTCTCCCTCCTCTTCCTTCTTCTTCTTTTCTCTCCCTTTCTTTGTTGTGATTATTATTATTAACATGGGGCTCAAACTCATGACCCTGAGATCAAGTCCTATATATGCTCCATGGGCTGAACCAGCTAGGTACCCCCTTCTTCTGTTAAAAAAATTTTTTTTTAAATGTTTGTTTATTTTTGAGAGAGAGAGAGTGAGCGAGCGAGCGAGCAAGGGAGCAGGGGAAGGGAAGAGAGAGAGGTAGACACAGAATCTGAAGCAGGCTCCAGGCTCTGAGCTATCAGCACAGAGCTCGATGCAGGGATCATGACCTGAGCTGAAGTCAGACACTTAACTGACTGAGCCACCCAGGTGCCCCTCCTTCTTTTTTTAAAATATTAAGTATACTTAGATGATGTGCAGGTTTTATGTTCTCTTAAAAAGCAAGAAAATCTTGAGAAGCATTTTGACCTAATGGAAATCATCTTGGTGGTTCATTTGATTTGGTCCATTTGAGAAGGAAACTGAGGCAGACGTGGGTGGTTTAGTTGATTAAGTGTTGACTGTTGATTTCAGCTCAGGTCATTTCGGGGTTCTTGGGAGTGAGTCCCGCATCAGGCTCTGTGCTGACAGCATGGGGCCTGTTTGGGATTCTCTGTCCTCCTCTCTGTCCCTCTGCTGCTTGTGTAGCATGCACGCACTTTCTCAAAAATCAACATTAAAAAAAATACTTTATTTTGAATACTTTTAGATTTACAGAAGAATTGTAAAGATAGTACAGAATTTCATCTAGCTTTCCTTAATGTTACCATTTTATATAACCGTGATACATTTATCAAAATTAAGAAATCAATATTAGTTGGGGTGCCTGGATGGCTCAGTTGGTTAAGGGTCTGACTCTTGACTTCGGCTCAGGCCATGGTCTCATGTTTCATGAGTTCATGAGTTTGAGCCCTGCCTCGGCCTCTGCACTGAGGGCCTGCTTGGGATTCTGTCTCCCTCTCTCTGCCCCTTCCCCACTTGCTCTCTCTCTCTCTCTCAAAATAAAAATAAACTTAAAAGAAGAGAAATGAATATTAGTTTAATATTATGAAGTAAATTACAGGTTTTCCACTCATTTCCCTAGTTTCTCCAGAGTGATGCCCTTTTTCTATTATAGGATCTGATACCATTTATTTATTTAGAGGTCTTATTTGCCTTGTTTCTGACAATCTGTGACAGTTTCTTAGTTTCTCCTTGCCTTTCCTTGACACCTTTGAAGAGTTGCGGTTATTTGTAGGATGTTCCTGAATTGGGTTTCCTGGTGTTTTCTCGTGATTCGCCAGAAGTTATACATTTGGGGAAGAGTACCATGGAGATGGTAGGTCCTTCTTGTCACATCATATTGCGTGTCAGGGTGTACCTGATATCAGTGTGGCTTGTTACTGATGTTAACTTTGATAATTTGATTAAGGTAGAATCTTCCTGGTTTCACTAAAGTGACTACTTTTTCCATTTCCTTACTTTATTTGTTAGAAGCTAGAAATGAGTCACCAAGTCAAGCCCATTTCTGGGGGAAGGAAATGAAGCTCTACCTCTTGAAGGAATGAGTGTCAAAGAATTTGTGAGTCTGTGTTCAAGTCACCCACAGTGATTAATAACTATTTTGGGGTATGTTCTGTGAGGCTGTACAAAGATCTGAGTTTCATCCACTAATTTTAGCATTCATTAGTGAAATTTGCCTGCAGCAGCAACTAGTGTGTGATTGTAGTGGTGATTTTCTATTTCCCTCATTCCTTCTACATTTATTTTTTGGAGTTTTTCTGTAAGGAAGATTTGTACATTCCCTTCTACCCCTGCCCCCAGTTTATTTACTTATTTATATCATTATGGACTCATGAACATTTATTTTTCCCTTTGGTTTGTAATACTGTACTTTGTTGTTCACATTCTTCTGGCTGTGGCCATTTGACACTTAGGTGTTTTGGATATGTCCCTCTTTTCTTTTTTTGGAGCACTTTTTTACTTCCTGATGCTGCAAGATGCTCCAGTCTCATCTTGTATTTTCCCTGCCCCAGCCCTAGAATCAGCCATTTCTCCAAGGAGGCCTGGTTTCTTTTATTGGAAAAAATATTTAGAAATCAAGATCTGATTTCTAAATGAACTGGGTGTACTCACTGATGCTGGGTTGTCCCTGCTTCTAGGCCATGCTGAAAGGCAGATCTACGTGTGTAATGGCTCAGATGTACATATATATTTGTGTTTATTTCCATATCTGTGTATAAATAGAAACATGCTCGTACTGGTCTCTGACTCTAGCCCAGTGCCACAAGTTTATTCTAACATTCTTCTCCTTCTTTGTAACTTTCTCTGACAGTGAGAAACTTGGCTCTTATTATTTATAATAGATTTACTTAACTGTTCAACCTTAGTGTATGTGTAAAGTAGGAATGCAGTTTTCATTGTCACATAAAGTAAATTTCCAAAGTCTTTTGCGATTGTCAACTAATTTAAATTATACTCCTGTAATACTGGTATTTTAAATTACTGTTTTTTACTTAAGTGGAGAGGTGATGTCATTTGCCCTTGGCCAAACAGGAAGTGAGTGACTGCAGCTGGAATCATGACCTATTCTCACTCCTAGTGCTATGCTTGATCCCATGCAAAGCAGTCTCATTCTATCAAGTATCTTTAACTACAAGTCATCCTTTGTCCCTTCTTGATGGGATTGCTCCTTTTAATTAAAGAAGTTGTTGGGTTTAAGATTTTTTTTTTTTTTTTTTAACTTTTGACCATGTTGACAGCAAGAAAAATTCCTTTTCTGGAATTATTGTGTCCCACTTAAGTTTTTTCCAGACTAAACAGCTTTTTCCCCTAGCCACCTCTTATGAAATGTGCTTTCTAAACCTTTTATTATGTTGGGCATCGTCTTGTAGACATGCTACAGATCGTATGATCTGATCCAGATACTCCATTAAGCCTTGGAAATGAAGTGATTAAGGAATTCAAAATGATCCCTTCCCTTGGGGAGCTTACCGCTTAGTTTCCATCATTACTGCTTTAAAATAATTTTTTTCAGGGCATCTGGGTGGCTCATTGGTTAAGCATTGGACTTTTGATTTTGGCTCAGGTCATGATCTCACAGTTTGTGG